GGATTGCCTATTAAATTAAATTATAATTAAATTATATTGCTATACCATATTTATAATAAAAATTATAAAAAAAATATTTAATATGATAATTATTAATTATTAAATTTAACTGATTAGTTAGTTCTTGATTTTCTAAAGGAATATTCTCTTCTTTATGATATTTTGTTAATAAAGCATTGTAATTAATTGTAAATTAGCTTGGAGATCCTGTTTAAATACTAGTTGATATAGCGTTGTCTTTGTTGTATTATATACTTGATTGTTTATAGCCTCTGCGGCAATATATATATCAATATGTATGATTATACAGTATATTATTATTTATATTAAAAAAAATTTTTGACGGATATTAATTGATATATAATGATTAATCGTTTTATATCAATTAAAAAATAATATTATATATCAATAAACAGTTAAATATCGATATATATTTATAATCAATATATATCATTTTTTGTTATAAATCATTATATATATATAGATCAATTATTATTGATCTTTTTTAGATCAATATATAATAATTTATAATTATTAATTGCCAATAAACTTTGCTACATACATATGTATGTATACAACTTTAACCTTTATGTTTAAATTAAAGTTTATAATTTATATTGCAGATAATAATCTATTTTTATATATACTTTTTTTACTTTCGCTTTATATTTTTTTCTTGATTCAATTTTTTTAACTTTAGTTTTTTTTACTTTGATTTTTTTAATCTTCGATTTTGTTATTTTTTTTATCGATTTTTTTTGATCTTTTTTTTTAAACTTTTTTTGATTTTTCTTTTCAATTTTTTTTCAGCTTTTTGATCTTTTTTTTTTATTTAATTTTATTTTGATTTTATTTATTTATTTATTTTTTATTTTTGTTTAGTTATTTACTGTCTTTTACTAATATTTGTTTTCTTTTTTGTAGGTCTTGTGCTTTGACAAAAAGTGTTAATAGCAACCAGATTGAGATTTTAGATCTAGAACTAGTATTAAGATAAGTACTAGTTCACATTTTTCTTTTCTTTTGTTGTTTTTTTGTCATTTTTTTGTGTTGTTACTAATGCTTTTTCTCTTTTTTATAGATTTTGTGCTTTGCTAGAGAGTGTTAATAGTGATCGGAATTAAGATCTTAGATTTGGAACTAGTATTAAGATAAGTACTAGTTCATATTTTTCTTTTTTTTTGTTGTTTTTTGTTATTTTTTTGTATTATCACTAATGCTTTTTCTTTTTTTTGTAGGTTTTGTACTTCACTGAAAAGTGTTAATAATGATCAGAATTGAGATCTTAGATCTGAAACTGGTATTAAGTTAAGTACTAGTTCACAGTTTTCTTTTCTTTGTCATTTTTTTAGTTTTTTCTGGTGTTGTTACTAATTTTTGTTTTCTTTTTTATAGATTTTGTGCTTTGCTGAGGAGGGTTAATAGTAACCAGAATTAAGATCTTAGATCTTGAACTGGTATTAAGATAAGTACCAGTTTGCAGTTTTCTTTTCTTTGTCATTTTTTTAGTTTTTTTTGGTATTGTTACTAATGCTTGTCTTTTTTTTTGTAGGTCTTGTGCTTCACTGGAAAGAGTTAATAGTGATCAGGATTGAGATCTTGGATCTTGAACTAGTATTAAGTTAAGTACCAGTTTGCAATTTTTTTTTTCATTTTTTAGTTTTTTTTTAGTATTGTTACTAATTCTTGTTCTCTTTTTTGTAGGCCTTATACTTCTCCGAGAAGGGTTAATGGTAACCAGGATTGAGATTTTGGATCTGAAACTGGTATTAAAATAAGTACCAGTTCACGATTTTCTTTTTTTTGTCATTTTTTTGTTTTTTTTTTAGTATTGTTACTAATTCTTGTTTTCTTTTTTGTAGACCTTGTACTTCACTAAGAAGGGTTAATGATGATCAGAATTGAGATCTTGGATCTGGAACTTGTATTAAAATAAGTACTAGTTTGCAGTTTTCTTTTTTTGTCATTTTTTTGGTTTTTTTTAGTGTTGTTACTAATTCTTGTTTTCTTTTTGTAGATCTTGTGCTTTGTCAGGAAAGGTTAATAGTGACCAGAATTAAGATCTTGGATTTGGAACTGGTATTAAGATAAGTACCAGTTTGTAGTTTTCTTTTTTTTGTCATTTTTTTTAGTTTTTTTAGTATTGTTACTAATACTTGTTCTCTTATTTGTAGGTCTTGTGCTTTATTGGGAAGAGTTAATAGCGACCGAGATTAAGATCTTATATCTTAAACTAGTATTAAGTTAAGTACCAGTTCATATTTTCTTTTCTTTGCCATTTTTTAGTTTTTTTTGTGTTGTTACTAATGCTTGTTCTCTTTTTTGTAGATCTTGTGCTTTGTCGGGAAGGGTTAATAGCGATCAAAATTAAGATTTTGGATCTTGAACTGGTATAGATAAGTATCAGTTCACATTTTTCTTTTCTTTGTTATTTTTTTAGTTTTTTTTTGGTGTTGTTACTAATACTTGTTCTCTTTTTTATAGGTCTTGTTCTTCGCCAAGAAGAGTTAATATGAACCAGAATTGAGATCGTAAACTCAGAATTAGTATCAAGATGCGTACTGGTTCATAATTTTTCTTGCTTTGTTGTTTTTCAGTACCGTTACTAATACTTTCTTTTTAGGTCTTGTATTTTGCCAAAAAGGGTTAATGGGATTAGGATTTAGAAGAATTTTTTTTACTTAAATGTAGAATTTTGAAGATAGAATTTTAGTAATATAAATTTACAAAAAATTAGATTTGTAATTAATAATTTAGTTGTAGTTTATAGAATATATAGAATTTTATGAAAATATAAAATGTTTTAATAAATAAATAAAATTTTTACCAAAATTATTTATTTTAAAAATTTATATGTATTTAATAAACTTAATTGTATATATATTTGATTTATATTATATGTATTTGCTATATATCGATATAAATCGGGTTTTTAAATAATCGATTACTATCGATTTACTATTAAAATAGCTATATATCATTTATTATTATAATTGATATAACTCAACAGAGGTGATTACTAGTAATTAATATATATTGGTCTATAAAATTTTCTAATATAATTTAGCTTATAATATTAAATAATTATATATATTAATTTACTTACAGATTACAAATAGCAATCCAGTACTTCAGTCACTTCATTTAGTCTCATCCATCTATGACCCAAACTTTGTTTGTAAAATATCATTACCTTTCTCGCCAGATTTTTGATATTGGGAGTATCTTGGTCATCTATGTATAAATTTAACAGATAGCCAGAGTTTCATAATTTTTTTATGATGTTACCAACAAATTCTCTACTATTATCTAAGTATACAACAGATAATAACCCATATTTTAAACAAAATTGCAAAAGAAAACTGGCTGTTTCAATTACAGATTTTGTTTTTGCAGGTTCTGCTGCAGAAAATCTTGTAAAATAGTCACATATATGAATAATATATTTAAATTTACTGTCTGGTATTGCTGTCATGTTAATAGTATCAACCTTTAAAAAATTTAATAAATTTAATATTAAAAAAATATAATTAACTAATTATAAAACTTACTTAAATATGAGCAAGAAATTTTCAGCGATTATAGGTTTTATAAAAGGTGCACATTTTGTTGTATGTCATACATACATTGCATTGTTTGACTGTATTTTCTACTATTGTTTGAGGTATAAAGCAATTTCATTGTCGAATCTATTACATATACACAATAAGTATATAATATACCATATTCTAAAAAAAATTTTTATTAATTTTGATAAAAACTTGTTTTTCTTTTAGCCATATTTTTTCTTGACCACCGTGCTCTATATCTTGATGAGCCTAGCAAATTACATTGTAGAAATCTTTAATCGGACAAACTTGGGTGCCATAGTTATTGTTTTCTGACTTAAGATTAGATTCTTCAACAATGCCAACTTTAACTAATTTAAATGTATGAGTGCTCAATATTTAAATTTTGGATTTTCATGTTTACTTTCAGGGTTTTATAAAAAAGTTAAACAATGATTATATTTTGGCCGATTCATTATGTGTCTTTCATTTTTTCGATTATTCATATAATCGCTTACAATTTTTTCAAAGGCTTGAAGCGAAAGAAATGAAAAAACTATTGGGTTATTAGAGGTTATATTGATACTAAATAAAGAAAATAAAAATCGGTAAAGTTTTTTTAAATATCGGTTGTAGCTTTTTTATATAATTAATCATATGATTAATTGTATGATTAATTATATGATTAAAAAAAAATTTGTAGTTAAATTTGAGCACAGTTAATATTGAAATATATTACATTTCAATCGGTATAAATTTTGAAATGACGCATGTTAATTTGAAGTCCAGAGATCTCATAAAGTGACATGTGATATGTATACTTTGATCTAATAAAAATACCGGCGAGGCTGCCAATAAGTTTAAAAAAAAAATAAAGTACAAGTATTTTAATAATAAAGTACAAATATTTTAAAAGATTTTTGTAAATAAGTTGTTATTTAATATTAAATTATAAAGCTATAAATTTGCTAAAATTAATTAATTTTAGTAAAAAAAAATGTAGTTAAAAAGTTCATTATCAGCACTATTAAAATAAAACTTTTTAGCAATAAATTAAATATATATTAGCTATTTTTTTTACCAATATTATTTTTTAAAAAATTTAGTAAAGTAGTACAATAGCTAAATGGATATCTATTAACGTAATTTTCATATATTCAAGTTTTCGATACCCATATATTTCAACCTTATGAGCAGATGCTCTAATTGATATCATTTGAAATATATTAAAGAATTTGACCAGAATTAAGCACAAGTAATGCAATATGGGTGCTGATAGCATTTAACTTTCACTTGTACAATAATAATAATATGATACTAGCTAAATAAAAAAAATAAAAGATAAAAAAATTTGAACGTAATACCGGTTTAACTAAATAATAACCACATGTAAGTTCAATTCGATTTTGGATTTTACAACTGGTTCAAGCTTTGTTTGTGTGCTTGTATAGGTTAAACCTTATTCTCAAACACAATACCAGCATTACCAGATATTAGCGTCCCAATAAAAAATCCAAAATGCTGCTTGTGTTTCGCATTTTCAAGTTCAGCTTTGATATTATAATTTAACATAATGTGATGTAAAAAGATCTTTGCCAGAATGGTATAAAAAAATCTACCTGGACAGGCTGTTTTTCCAAATCCAAATATCAAGTAATTACGATCTGCTTTTGCCACAGGAGAATTATGGCGGTATGCATTGAATTCTTGAGGATTCTGGCCCTGAAATTCTTCATTAAAAGTTATTCCTGAAATGTCTAAAAAAACTTGGTGACCTATGATTTTAAATAATTAGGAAAAGAGATGTGAATTATTATTGTTTGAAGGTTAAAAGAATAAAAATCCCGAAAAAAATTACCATGTGGAATTTGAAACCCATTCGCAAGAAAATTATAAGTTTCAGAAATACAAGGACGTGGCACACTAAGTACATTAGAATTTATTCTAAGTGATTCTTTAATAAAGCTATCCAATTTCACCATATTACCAACATCCTTATGAGTAAGTTTGCCATTACACTGTTTATTAATTTCTTAAGCCTCCTGATGTAATTCTTGCCAATAATCCTTCCGCCTTTTTGCCAATTCTAATTTTCAAATAAAATGTATTTAAGTCATAATTTATTTAAAATAGAATTACTTTATAATGTAAAATAATGAAACATGACTAACCGACTAAAGCATAGGCAGACGCATTAGACGATGTTGTCATAGAAGCAAACATAAATATACCAATTGTGTCAACGATCATGTTATAATTTACATGATTTGGATCAGAATCTGGTGTTATTTCAGGATCGTCTAGGAAAAGTTGTAGAGCATCCACCTACAGTATTTTTTAAACAAAATTATTTTAAAGATTACTAGAATAACTCTGTAGTTAATCAACTTTCTTTTATAAATAACTTACAGGTGCATTCCAAGAGTCGCCTAATTTCCTTTTATAAAGAAGACGTTTTTCGACGATTGGTTTAATACGATTAATAATTAATCTTCTATGTTTTGAAATAAATCTTAAGGAAAAGCTATGATAAAAAAAATTTGGTTATATAAAGAATATATTAGTATACATAGCCTAAAATTTTCAAAACGTAATAAAGCCTCTAACGTAAAGTTGTTGAATTTAAAAAAAAAACTTACGTTGCAACTTGGTCATGAAGCCAGGGATGTATAAAGGATAGTAATTTAGGTGCATAAAATTTTTTCAGAATTGAAGAAGATAAGGTTTTAAAGATATCTAAAATATCCTCATTATTAGCACATTCCTAATTGTTTTATATAAGTAACTAAGTTAATATTGAAAAGAAATTTTACATAAAAATAATAATAATAATACATACTTCACCAAGAACAATATTCGCTGCTACCCGCAAATAAATATTTAATAAAAGTTCATTTAGGTCTTTAACGAGCTTTGGTTCTATAACAATTAAGCATTTCTTTTAAACTTCATTAAAATTCTATAAGAATAATTCATTATTTAAAGCTTATGAGCTTACCAACACATTCGCCAACAAAACTATCAATGCCTTCAACAATACTTTGTTGTATCTTACTCGTGAAACTGGCTAACTTTAATTTAAAAAGGGTTCTCAGTCTTTTAATAGTTTTATCTATATCGACTGCGGCATAGGGGAATATATATTTTATTATTAATCGCTGTTTTCAAATTAAAAAGAATGGTTTGAAATATACAATATTATAATAAATTTGCTATATTCACTAAAAAATTTTCAATTACTAACCGCTTCAGGACTTTCATGAAAATCAAAATCATGATCTTTTTTCCATACTTCATGAACTGCATCCTTTCCAACTACAGTCATTAATTGGCCGAATATGTATAATGTAAATGTACTGCCATACTATTAAGAAATCATAACTTATTACAATAGAACGTAAGGAAAGAAACTCTTTTTTTTCTTTTTTTTAGAAAGAAAAAAAAGCAAACCTTTTCCCGTGATACTGCAATTAACTTGTCGCAATTCATTACAAATTTCCATGTATGCCCGATAATTGGATATCGATAGTAAACGATGGGTGGTTCATTCTAAGAAAACAGTCTTTACATTAATAACAATTATGAATAGATGTTAATATAGAAAAAAAACATACTAGTCGTTTCTTCGTTAGTTGAACATAGACTAATACTAGAATTAATCCTACGACTAATAATTGAAAATATATGTTTTCTAGTAAGATTTTAATCATTTTTTAAAATGATTTATCATTAACACTTTCTATAACGAATTGATAGTTCTGGATATAAAAAACAGTTCACTAAATAAAATTATTGTTTTCTCAAAAAACTATAATTTTTTTATAATGAACCAATATTAAATTAAAAATTAGTCGTTATATCCAAAGTTCGTTATAGGCAGGTAGGTTACAAGGAGTGGCTAATGTGTTAGAAGAATGTTGTAGTCATTAATGAAGATTTTAAATTTTATGGAATTGTAACTTATATTTATAACCGACAATTCTCAGATTTCTAAATTTCAAATTCAAAATAGAATCGACTCATACAATTTAAAATGATACGTATCACTTTACAGAAAATCATTTTACAGACACCAATCAATTTATAGACAAGTTTATTTTAATAACAATCAATTCACAGATCAATCATTTTATAAACAATCTTTAAAAGATGATTCAGCAGTCTAGTTTGAATGATTTAATTACGCCTAAAATCATCTAAACCTGGATCCCAAGATAAGATTTATTGTCTGTAAAATATGATGTATGTGAAATAATTTTTTGTACATATCCGAAGAAATGAAATGATAAATGGCAATATAGAGAGCGTTTTAGTCCCGATATGGTACTAATTATTGGCTCGAATTGTGTCATTTCCAGATTCACATCGGGTTATCAGCAAAATTATAATAGCTATCGGGCTTCTGATACCTCAATTAATAAACCTAGAAATGAACGCGATCCGTGCCATTAATCATTGCTGTATATTTCCATGATATGCTTTATTTCGACTAGTGTGTACATGAATGGCTAAATTATTTAGCGTTAGCGTAAGGCCATATAAACAATTAATTGTTTCTCATAACATATAAGTTTTATCGTGCTTTTCAAATTATTGTGATCGGCAGATGATCGCCAATCACACGGCTTGTCAGCACCCGGTAAAAAATTTGGCATACCACGTGGCATGCTATTCGTTAAAATTTATACGTACGTACGTACGTACCTGGCATGCCACACTGGTCATGCCACGGCTTGGATCATATGTTACATAAGAATTGCATTTTAAAAAATTTTACAAAGAACGAAACCCGGAAGTAACTTTTTTAAGCTTATTCAATAAGATCAAATATATTTATTAAAAAAAAACTTGCAGATGGATTACTTGTGGTCTTAGTTTACTTACAAAATAACCAATATTAATTGATATAGAATAGAGTTCCAATCCATTATCCGTTTATCCGGATAATTATCAGATATTCGTTATCCGTTATCCAAAGTATCCTGAATTTATCCGAATATCCATTTACTATTGATATCCGAATAATTATCCGAATATCTGTCAGATTATCCGGATATTTTGATCTGTTTACTGTTACAGAAATTTTGTAGTAAGGTAGTAATGGGTATATGTCATGGGATATTTAGTAATATGTTATGCAGGAAATATGTGGTCATTGAGTGCAGGGAAATGCAGTCATGAAGTAATTAGTCCATACGCAGGAATTATGCAGTAAGTATGCAGTAATTATATAATAATGGATAATCGCTTGAACAATGATGGAATAGGGAAGAGGATTAAAAGTAAGAAAGTTGAGAATTAGTCTTTTTAGTTACTTCGATAGTTAGTGAGTCGCTTAGTTGGTTAGTAATTAGGTTGGATTAGTAGAAAGTACTCTGGGAGTACATCTTGAACTTTGTGCATAATAAAGAAGGCTCATCTTACTTTCAGTATCTCATATACATAAATACATACTTAGTTCTTTCCCCTTAATGTTTGCAGTCCTCTGCTAAATTGGCTACGTTGTCCTAAAGTCTCTCCCTTGACTGTAACATTACCCGATGTGGATGATTCGGATAATTCAGATACGGATAAATGGATGACGGATTTATCCGGATTGGAACTCTAATATAGAAGTTTTTTTATTTTATTTTATTTATTTATTATTTTTTTTTTTTAACTAATATTGGGGATGATGCTGAAACATGGATGATCGTGAAATATAAAAATTCTATTGACTAATCACTCTAACCTTAACAATCATCCATGTTTCAGCATCATCCCCAACATTTATTATGAATGGCATGCCAGGTACATTTTAAGCATTTTGGGCATGCCATGGTGGCATGACCAGTAGTGGCATGCCAGTCACCCTAGCACCCAGAAAATGTGTACGTACCAGGTTGGGATCGGATCATGGTCTGGAGATTAAGTCTTCGATGATTTTTTTCTAACGATAAGATTTTTATTTTTCAATTACAGCTGTTTTCATAAATTCTGGGGCACCTGATAAAATTTTGCAGAATGATTTTTCCTACGTACTGCTGTAATGAGGCAATCGGGCTATATATGTCATGCGTCATTTCTCAATTCATGCATTCAAATCTATGCATGTTTCACATCATTTTTCAATTTATTTAATTATTAATTGCCGATTTCATTTTTAAATTAGAAAAGGCGTAGGCTATTTTGTAGTCAATATACTTTTAACAAAGTAATTATAACCGATTTGATTAAACATACGCTTCACATGTGTGTGTTCAACGAAGTATAATCAAAATTTTATATATATTTTAAATATAATTGCTTTAACAAATAGAACGCATCTATGTCATCTCAAGTATAGCAAATTTTTCGATAGTGGCTTAATTATAATTTGTAGCAATTTTCTTAAAAGAAATATCTATTCTATTATAGGTTGGACATTTTTGAATATTTTATATGAATATTTTAGGTTAACAGTGTTTTAAATATTATGAACTAAGAGTCTTTAATTTTACGAACTTAACATGTAGTTCATCTGCAGCAAAGGTCCAGACTTTTTTTTGATATAATTAGATGCTCATCATAGACATCAAACTCGGCTTATTTCTCATTGGTGATAGAAAATTGCAACTTTTAAATCCATAAGTACTACGAAGAAAAAAGTACATGATAGTAAAAGAACTATTTGTATTATGTCATTGCAATACGTATTCATTTAATATGCGATTAATCAGTTTTTATTATGCAAGTCTTATCAGCATTAAGAACTGACCCGAGTCATTTTCAATCAGTGGAAATTGAAAAATGACATGCATCGATTGATAACGCATAACACGTGTTTATACATATGAAATTGTTAGATCTGCATTACGGCTGTTTCTATAAATTCAGAGACACTTGAAAAATAACCGAAATGATAGATAAGTTTTGACATCAGCCAAAGTCAGTAACTTATTGGTTCTGACTTATCGATTCAGTTACTGGAAAATATGAAAGCACCGACTTTAATGACAGAAATAAAATTAGTTTTTGCAAAATTCCGGCAAGTGTTTTGCAGATCAGCATCCGTACGATACTGATCAGGTATGTATATTACCGTTAGAATTAGGAATTATAGATCAGTATAGTATGGTATTTAATTTTGATCTGTAATATACTGATCTGGTCATCATGCCATGCTTAATACCATTTCTGCACGAGATACATTGATCGTGAAAAATTCATTCATTACGCATACGAATATGCAATGTCCGATTCTGTGCAACAATCCAATTTTTTTAATAGGGATGTTATACAGTCTATTCTAAACTGATAAACCGCAGTTAGTCTTAAATCCGGTTTAAAACAGAAAAAAAAAATCTATTTTTAGTTTTAAGACCAGTTAATTTTTAAAACTTTGAACTACTAAAAGTGGACTAAAGTGATCCGATTGGACCAGGCAGGACTATTAGCATCACTAAAGTTTAATTTGTTCTGATCTCTGATAACGATTAAACCAGTTCATTAATATTTTAATTCTAACCGTGGTTCAGTCTCACTTTCAAAACAATTCTTAGTTATATATAGTTATATTTCAAACATTTATTGTTTAGTAGAAAACTTAAACCATAAAGCATTGGATGGTCAATATCTAATGGGATTAAAAATATGTCAAATCTCATTTATTTTTGTATATGGCAGATTTTATCAAAAATTATGGCATAACTTTTATATCAAATAATTAGTAAACTATTTTACTGAAAATTAAATTTTAACAATTTAACAGTGAATGGATTCGTAACTTTAATAGAAGGTTTACGATTTAATAGAGGATAGATTTGTAATTTCAACAGCAGGTGATTCATAATTTCAATAGTATGTAGATTTTTGATCTATTGTGGTTTGCAACATATTAAATTTGTAGATTATGCCAATATTATAACCACCTAATTATTGCTTGATTAGTGATTGTGAATATAGATATGGCAAGCGAAAAATTATGAAAATGCTATATTATTGGTTAAGAAATTCACTTCACAATTGCGTCACATGTGGAACATGATTTGCAATTATTAGAACCAGTCTGGAAAAGCTGATATATTGCATAAAATCTCTGGCTCATTCATAAATTTACGTTCCTGGCGTCACGCGACAGCGTCGCGCAGCTACCTTATTTACTAATTTCTGCACTGACGATCCTTTTAAAATTTGTTATTTTTTCATACCTTCTAGCAATGGTTTCTCAACGACTATGTAATTAAACTTAATAATTTTTTTGATTTTAATTTTACAAGCTTATAGAATTGAAATATAAAAGTTTCATCGAGTTTGACCCAGTAGTTATCGAGAAATTTTCATTTAAAATTTCAAAAAAACATCGAA